CTGTCCCCCCGTCACTCTCATCTGACTGTTGGCCGGGAAGGAGCAGAGAAGAGAACGGCTACGTGGCGTCCATTGTCCGACCTGGAACTGGCGGGAGGGGCCACAATGGCATTGATCATGGAGGCCATTGGAGGATCAGCATGGCAGCCAGACGCTTAGCATTCTCAGAGGTCAACTTTCCGGCTCCGGCCAGCAATGGCGGCTTGAACAGTAACCGGTACCATCGCCGCGCGGAGGAATCCACAACAAGACAGGGCCGCTTCTCGGATCAGAACCTGGCAGTGCAAGGGTTAATCAGCTGCGTCATATTCCCCCATTAGATCCCCACACAGGTCACAGCGATTGGATGGATCGGCTCCGTCCTCCTCTCACATGGTTCTGGTCCATATACAGGTGATTGGATGGATCGGCTCCGTCCTCCTCTCACATGGTTCTGGTCCATATACAGGTGATTGGATGGATCGGCTCCGTCCTCCTCTCACATGGTTCTGGTCCATATACAGGTGAATGGATGGATTGGCTCCGTCCTCCTATCACATGGTTCTGGTCCATATACAGGCGATTGGATGGATCGGCTCCGTCCTCCTATCACATGGTTCTGGTCCATATACAGGTGATTGGATGGATCGGCTCCGTCCTCCTCTCACATGGTTCTGGTCCATATACAGGTGATTGGATGGATCGGCTCCGTCCTCCTCTCACATGGTTCTGGTCCATATACAGGTGATTGGATGGATCGGCTCCGTCCTCCTCTCACATGGTTCTGGTCCATATACAGGTGATTGGATGGATCGGCTCCGTCCTCCTCTCACATGGTTCTGGTCCATATACAGGTGATTGGATGGATCGGCTCCGTCCTCCTCTCACATGGTTCTGGTCCATATACAGGTGATTGGATGGATCGGCTCCGTCCTCCTCTCACATGGTTCTGGTCCATATACAGGTGAATGGATGGATTGGCTCCGTCCTCCTATCACATGGTTCTGGTCCATATACAGGTGATTGGATGGATCGGCTCCGTCCTCCTATCACATGGTTCTGGTCCATATACAGGTGATTAGATGGATTGGCTCCGTCCTCCTATCACATGGTTCTGGTCCATATACAGGTGAATGGATGGATCGGCTCCGTCCTCCTATCACATGGTTCTGGTCCATATACCGGTGATTAGATGGATCGGCTCCGTCCTCCTATCACGTGGTACTGGTCCATATACAGGTGAATGGATGGATCGGCTCCGTCCTCCTATCACATGGTTCTGGTCCATATACAGGTGATTAGATGGATCGGCTCCGTCCTCCTCTCACGTGGTTCTGGTCCATATACAGGTGATTGGATGGATCGGCTCCGTCCTCCTCTCACGTGGTACTGGTCCATATACAGGTGATTGGATGGATCGGCTCCATCCTCCTATCACATGGTTCTGGTCCATATACAGGTGATTGGATGGATCGGCTCCGTCCTCCTATCACATGGTTCTGGTCCATATACAGGCGATTGGATGGATCGGCTCCGTCCTGCTAGCTGGTAGGGCTGGTCCATATGCCGGTGATTGGAACCTATCACATGGTTCTGGTCCATATACAGGTGATTGGATGGATATATTGTGACATGTATGGTGGCAAGGCCCCGATGTAAGCTGTACACACTGACACTGCTGGGAGGCTCGGGGGATGGGAGGGAACATTTGTTACATTGTATCGGGGGGAGGAGTCAGGAAACCGCGTCTGTTTGTTACATTTTATATCCGCGGCTGCTGGATTGTGATCCAACCCCCCCCCCCCC